AGGTCTCTTTCTGCCTGGCTACTCTCCTGCCTGTAGCACTGCATCAGATTGGTATGAGAAATGACATCACTAAGTTTTGCAGTACAGGACCCAACTACATCTTTAAACCCATTGGCTACAGTCCCAGTAACAAGTGTATTCCCCTTCCACCCCACTCTAATAGTAGCTGAACTTTAAAAAGGCTCAAGATACCAAGTTCATCTTCTCTTGGGAAGAAACTGCAGACAGCGAATGCCACTGATGAGTCTTGCTCACCAGGCAGTTTTACATACTGGGCTTTGAGATAACAATGTAAGACTATAATGGAGATTCAACTTGGTGTTGTTAAGGTCGCTTTCAACCAAGAACCATCTGAACCAGATGGAAGCTTGGTGTGGGCACAACAAGGAAGGGAGGCCACCAATTGCATTTCATGTCTGCTTCTACAGAACTGAAAGCTTACTTTGTGGATATATCCTTCCCAGTTTGGTAAGCTTGAGCCTTCATGATCCTTTCCATGTTACCAGACCATCCATACTGACTAGCCACAAGAGCACATGGAGACTGGGTCAAACGTTGAGACAGCACAGCCTTTTCAATCTGCAGGAAAACACCCCAGAGCTTAGTATTGGTTCACAGAGCTAACAGCTTATACAGTGAATAAATAACACTGCAACCTCCTGTCAATGAGTTCTGAAGAACAAAGACAACCTCCTAACTCTTGATATTCCTGAAATTAGAGTATTAAACATGTTTATGCCTTAAGACAGAAGCTACTGTCAAGTCTGTGCTCAAACCACCTGCAAAGTGATGTAGCAAGTACAGCAGCATTCAAAGATAAACATGACATGCAATGCAACATTTTACCTTGTCTTTTAGAGCTTTGTCTTTCATCCAGTTTAAGAGTGGTTCAAATTCCTTTTCCAAGGCTTCCCGACTCTCCTTAGACTTTTCACTTTCTTCAAATTTAACTCCTTCTTTTGCTACGTTCTGAAATCTCTTGCCATCAAACTCTGGCAAAGCCTGAATACAGTATTCATCTACAGGTTCAGTCAGGTAGATCACTTCATAGCCCTTTTTCAGCAGACGTTCCACAAACGGGGAGGACTCAGCCTAGGATAGCAAACATCAGATGCCAATTAACTGCGCTGGTACCAGCAGCTACTGAAACTATTTGACAAGTATATGACTGTTTGACAAATACTGGTATCAGAACAACTGAACTGCAGCAGTAACAACCATGGAGGCTCCACAATTACAGCAAACACACAGTTCATAATGTTTATGGGACTAACATTAGAAGCTGTTTGAATATTTTCGTCCCTTCCCCCCTCTCTCACATACCTCCTTTCTGCTGGCACCTGCCATGAAATAAATTTTGTCCTGCTTCTCTTTCATTCTTTCCACATACTGATCAAGGCTTGTGAGGTTACTTTCATGATGAGAAGACTGGAAGCGAAGCAGCTTTGCCAGTCGTGTGCGGTTGGAGTGATCCTCAATAACACCAAGCTTCACATTGGTACCAAACTCCTTCCAGAACGTGTCATTGTACTTTTCCTCTGCGATTTTCTTGATCATATCGAGAGTTTTGCGAACCAGTTTCTTCCTGATCACCTGAAAAAAAAAGCCCCAGCAATACTGAGTTACAACAACGAGCACATGGAAGAGTCCTCACAATTCAACCCCCCCTGCAAAGGATGAATTCCAGACACTTGGTGTCTCTGACCTGAAGCAGACAGAGGTGGTCTGAAAACAGCCATGTGTGGATTTCCTGTGCTTTAACCAAATTAATCAAGCTATTATTCTTCTAAATCTTACTCCTGTCATGTGCTTACAATGAAAATAAATCTAAGATCAATAAGCTTACCTTAAGCAATTTGTGCTGCTGAAGTGTTTCACGAGATACATTTAAAGGAAGATCATCAGAATCCACCTAAATGGAGGAAGAAACTTATAAGTATAACCAAACAGCATTTGAAGATTTACAAGTAAACTGAATGCAAATAAGACTTGTAAATACTTACAACACCCTTGACAAAGTTAAGATATTTGGGCATCATGTCATGGAAGTCATCAGTGATGAACACTCTTCGAACATAGAGCTGAAGCACAAGAGAAGACAAGGTTATTCTGGGTTTCTCTTACCTGAACCCATACATGTAAGGAGTTAAAGAATGCCTTTCCTGTCTCAAACACTGTTAGGGATTCTCCCTAAGATGCACTAGCCACCAAGGCAACAAGTTGAGATAAGCACAAAAAAGGAGTTTGTGCTAAATCCAGGTCTGATGGAGGTGAGATGTGGTTAGCACCTCCTGATTAACATACCTAAACAACCATCTCCACTGTGGCAAACTTCATATCCATATCAAAGATCACCTGGACCAGGCAGGATCTGTGACACCCCCCCAGCCCAGCTTTGTATAGAAATGAGGATTACACCTACAAGGAGATCCAGAATTTGGACTGTATAAAGGTGGTGCCCCGAGATGAGTAAGTCAGGTCTCCCATCACCAGAACAGCAGCTTGGGATCCCCACCATCAAGAAGCCCAGGGTGAAGAAAGACCAACGGGACACTGCTAGATCCACAGGTGGTGAGTTTCCCCTTCTCCCCCCTCTTCCCTAATTTCTCATAATTATAATTAAATAAACCACTTATCATTGTACTATTAATGTATTATTGACTTTTGGCATTTGGTCTCATTGGCACCTTAATTTGGGTAGAGGCAGCTCTCACAAATCAGACGATAACAATACCCACACACTTTCTTGTCCTACCTTGATGAAATCACTTTTTTTGGATCCATATTCATCAAACAGTCCACGTGGAGCAGAATTAGGAACAAACAAGATGGATTTGAAAGTTACTTCCCCTTCTGCAGTGAAGTGGATGTAAGCCATTGGGTCATCATGTTCCTGGGGACAGAGAATTCTTCTCATTGACATGGGGAAAATACCAGTGAACCATTTTCAGTCATAACATGCATTTGCCAAGTAAGTCCAATTATTTGACAACTGATCTATCTAACCATGTTAGGATCTATCATGGCGACAAAAGCAAGTTACAAGAGCTGAGCTACTCACATAAAACTAACCTTGGTAAAGTCATCTTCCTTGAGATCTGCTAAGTTTTGTTACCAGTAGCACAATAACAAATACAGTATCACCACAGCTCAGTTAAGAGACTCCATGTAACATATTACATTATACTGACACACAATGTTACCAGAAAGCTCTATCTCCCTCCTTCAACACGTGCAACAAGTATCACCATGTGCAACAAGTACACCACCACACTCAGATGAAACAAATTTCCCTGTCAACATTTAAACACATCAGGAAGCTCCACAGGAGCTGAAGCATTACTTCTCAAACCTACATCACTTAACACTTGCATGGCAGTACCTCCCCTCTGGGGGGGGAAAAAAAAAAAAAAAAAAAGATAAATTCCTGAGAGAGATGTTACACCTTCCAGGCTCTCTGCAATTCCATCTACTGGGAAACAGTCCATTGCATAAGCACTCAGTTTTACTTAGGCAGCAAGAGATACTACAGAAAATCTCTTGCTTTGCAAAAATGATAAAATCAACCAGGTTGAAAAAGACCTCCAAGATCATCAAGTCCAACCCTACCATGGTTACTAGACCATGGCACCAAGTGCCACATCCAGTCTCATCCTAAAAACCTCCAGGGACAGTGAATCCACCACCTCCCTGGGCAGCACATTCCAACGCCTGAGCACTCTCTCTGGAAAAAAAATCTCCAATCTAATACGCACCCTTAACCTCCCCCGACAGAGCTTGAGTCTGTGTCCTCCTGTCCTGCTGCTGGTTGCCTGGGAGAAGAGACCAACACCCACCCACCTACAACCTCCTTTCAGGGAGTTGTAGAGGGTGAGAAGGTCTCCCCTGAGCCTCCTCTTCTCCAGACTAAACAACCCCAGCTCCCTCAGCCTCTCCTCATGGCACTTGTGCTCCAGTCCTTTCACCAGCCTCGTTGCTCTTCTCTGGACCTGCTCCAGCACCTCAATATCCCTCCTGAGCTGAGGGAACAATCTTGAGGCTTACCTTGGAAAAGGTTTTGTAAAAAGCTTTGTATTCATCTTCTTCAACTTCTTTAGATGGTCTCTGCCAGATTGGTTTTATGTCATTCATGAGCTCCCAGTCCCAGACAGTCTTTTCAACCTAGGTACACAAACACCACAGCAGAGAAAGAGTCACTCTTTACTTCAGGTTAAGTCAGTTAAAGACACTCCACTGAGGCCAAGACATAAAACAAGCCAAAAAACCTCAAACATGCTCTTCCTAATTTACAAAATCAATTAGGCAATAGTCTGGGTGTACAATGTGCAAGTACACACATTGCTGCAGCACATGGAAACAAAACTTCAATCCATGCTCTCATGTGTTGTTCCATGTACACCGATCACATTCACCAAGTACCAGGATTTCTGTTCTACTGCTGCTCTGGAAAAAGCTTTCCAGCAGAGCATACTTCAACTAGCCAACAGTGTCAGATTACTGGAGTCTGCTACCATTTCAAGCAGTTCAATCCGTACTTATAATTAGTTCTGTGACCACTGCCTCATGAGGCTGGTGTCAGTCATCTGCCTGACCTCAACCCAGTCTGTTTTGTTTACAGTCTTTGCTGACAAGACACCTATCTGCACTTCCAAAGAATTGCTTCTGGAAAGCACACAGACACTACTGAACCACACACCTCTGGAAGCCTACCCCGGAAAACCACCGAATTATCTGACACAAGTTACAAAATCCCAAGTCTAACACAGCTTACCTTCTTGGTTTTTGGTTTCTTTTCTTCCTCTTCTTCTTCAACTGCGGCTTCATCATCATCAGTTTCTTCTTTCTCCTTTGCTTCCTCCTCTTCAATGGGTTCCTCAACAGTCTCTGTCTAAAGAGACAACTCAAACTGGCAACTTGGAACACTTTGGCTTCCTACCAGGTATGTTCTAATATGCTCTCAAACAGCTTCCATATCACAGCACTACTTTGACTTGTGCTATTTGCCTATTGCAAACTTTTCTCCTTGGGTAGTACTTCTTAGTTGCCTTTTTCACCAAAAACATGCTTTCCTTCTATGCACTGTGAAATCACAGTATTCAAATCTAGGTTTTTCAAAGGTTTACCCATAGTGCTAATCAGAGTCTTGGTGAATTTTAAATTGGTGCTACACCAAGCAACCATCAGAACAGCCCTACAATTTGAGACACTGCCCTCATTTTTAGGAGGACACTTAACCATGGCCCTGATTGAAAGCTTGACAAAGCTTCCATCTACCAAACAGAGCTAATGGAATAATGATACATTAACACAGTCCTGTTCCTTTAATAAAGCTGAGTCAGTTCAAGTCTGATTTTAGCAACACACTAACTTTGAGAGAAAGTAACTAGTAAAATACAAGCCAAAAGAGTCAAGAAGAGAAGACTTCTAGACAAGTAGCAGCTCTCACCCTTCCTGCAGTATCTGGACAGACAGCTGCCACAAACAGAGCTCAGTGTGCAGTGCTCAGTTAAACACACTTACCTTGCTGCTCCACACGTATATGGGGAAGTTGATGAACTGTGAGTATTTCTTTACTAGATTTTTGACAGTATCCAGCTCAAGGTAATCAGATGCTTCCTCCTTCAAGACAAGACTAGAGAAAATAAAAGATAAACCTTCAAGCGAAGTGTAGGACAAGTATTTTGACATAGTTTCATGGAAGATGTATTTTCCTGTCACAGCTATAGCAATTCAGATTTATGCCAGACACCTTTTATTACCTGAACTCAAATGATCTCAAAGAATACAACTCCTACTACACTACTCCTATGAGAAGGGGCAATTCCTTTCAACAGCTGAGGGTTATATAACATCCAACAGTCTAAATGAAAACCTCAGATCATCCTGATATTTACCAGGATCTTGCTGCACTCACTGGATTTACTTGAAACTAGAGATCAACTTTTCTGTAAGTGCCTTCTCCAGGCAGACATCCTCCAAACCAAACACATTTATCTGCTCAGGAAAGAAATAAAAACAGGACTGTCTAACTGCCTCCAGTTTGCACTTTGCACCAGACCAATCTCACTGGTATATAAACACAGCCAGTTTCTCAGGCAAAGCTCTACAGCCCCTGGGCCACAACTGGGAACTGAAGGAGCCTGCAGGCAGCTGAACTGCCCAGAACTACTTGCTGACAGTGGTCAAGATACTGATTGTTTTCTTAGCTCATCTAACAGAACATGAAACAAATTAAATCACTCCACATGTCTTCTGGATGCAGTTTACATGCTTCTATTGAACTGGACAAAGCTGCATTACAAGAATCAAATACTGAGAGTCACAAAGCTAAAGTCACCGACATACCCCCAATAAGCAAAGTGTGACCCACACCACCTTTTTTCTTGGAAATCCAACAAAACTTCACACTTACGTAATGGTTGTGCCACGTCCTAGAGTGTTCCCTCTTGGGTCATCGATCACAGAAAACTCATTTGAATCTGACTCCCAAATGTGTTGGGTATCATTGTTGTGTTTGGATGTGACAATGACTCTGTCTGCCACTAAGAAAGCAGAGTAAAAACCAACACCAAACTGTCCGATTAACTCTGAGGTTGACTGGCTATCATCCTGCATTTCAGTCATTTTGTTGAGGAACTCACTGGTACCAGACTTTGCAATGGTACCCAGGTTCTTAACCAGCTCCTCCTTTGTCATGCCAATGCCTGTGTCTGTAACATGAAGCATGTTCTTCTCTTTGTCACACTGGAAAAGAAGAGAGACCAAAGAGCAGTTTGACTTTGAGTAGCTATTACATACCCCTGTGGCAGTGTGTTATGTGTTAAGATTCAGAGCAAATTCAAATATGCCTGGCTGCAATAAATTGGATTTGCAGTAGCTACAGAAGCATTCCAAGACTTGAGTTACTCTTTGTAAAGCCAGAAATATATTGCCACCACTAAGAGAAGAGTAGTCATTGATAAAGTTCATTGCAAGGGTTCTGATGTGGTCCTAGTTTGTATTTGCATCAGTATTAAGCCAAACATTTAGATTTAATGATGGACTATATTTTCACATTCCTCTCACCACTGCTCTGAAATCAGTGATTGCATCTAATCCTTCTCACCTTGATTTTGACTGTGAGTTCCTCATTCCCAGCAAGAGCATTTTCGTCGGTTAAGGATATTAACCGTATCTTATCTAAAGCATCTGAAGCATTTGAAATGAGTTCTCTCAGGAAAATCTGAAATAGAAACCAAGAATCAGGAATTCCAGAAGACACAAACACCCCCCCAAGAACTAACATCTCCTGATAAAAGTACCAACCTCTTTATTTTTATATAAAGAATTGATAATTAGCTTCATCATTCTGTTCACTTCTGCTTGAAATGCAAACTTCTCAGATTTCTCTCTGATTTCTTTGATCTGAGATGCATTTAGGCCATCTAGTTGGATAGCTTCCTCCTCTCTGTTAGGACAATGAAAACCTGTCAAGCATTCTTGTCCACAAACAGCATCACCAACTTTTATCAAGCAACAGCAATAATCCTAGTTTGAACAACATAAAGATCTTCAAGCAGTGATGCAGCCCAAAATTACATGATCAAATGAGCTATGTGCAAGCATAGCTATTCCTCAACCGCATAACCTTAGCCTGAAACCTGAGAGAAAATTCATGCTTGCAAGTGAGAGTTCTTCAGAGAAAAAGAAATCCAGGGAGTAATACAGTTAGGTTAAACCCTCAGCACAGGAAGCCAGAGAGGGACTCTTTGTTACGATCAACAATGACAGGACAAGGGGCAACGAGTACAAATGGAAGGAGAGGAAATATACACTAGATATTTGGAAGAACTGCTTTCCTATGAGGGTGGTGAGACACTGGCACAGGTTGCCCAGGGGGGCTGTGGTTGCCCCAACCCTGGCAGTGTTAAAACCAGGTTGGATGAAGCCTTGAGCAATCTGGTGTGGTGGGAGGTGTCCCTAAAAATCTATGTTTCTATGTACTACAGGAGGTGAGGCAGTTCATGGGCACAGAGCCATTTCACCAGTAGGCACTACACTGACAACACTAATGACATGCAGGAGTAAACTTCTACAAATGTACTGTTTTTTACTGAACTATGGGTACTAGACAAGGCCAAGTTGTTTCTGAATCCAGGCTCTCAGACCCATTTCTATGTAGCAGACTTCTCCAAAAACATTTTATTTCCCCCAGCGACTCGACCTCTCTTTTACACCCCCTCCCTAATCCCGAGGCTTCAGGCATTACTAATGCTCCAACTGACCCTTCCAAAGCAGGAGCACCCCAGGTACTAACCTCTGAACAACTTCATCATCCGTTCGAGACCCTTCTCTGCTTTTACCCAAGTCATCTTCCACGGTCGCATCTACATCCACCTCATCGGCTCTGACCGACACTGATGAAAGAGAAAACCAACACTCTGAGCCTCAAACCCCGGACGCAATGCCCAACTTCGGTACTCACTACTCCACACGGCTTTAGGCTTATCTCCGTCCCTTCACCCTCC